CTTTTCAATTTTTTTAATATTTCTTCGTATTGTATTCTTTCTTACTATAGTAGTCTGTGTAGTATTCATCTTCGTATTTGTCCTTCTTGTAGTAGTCATCATCGTATTTTTTCTCCTTGTAATCGTAATCATGAGGTGTACGTTTGTAGTATTCTTGAGATTTAAAATAAGGGTTAATATTGGTTATAAATCAATCATAATCGATATTTGGTAACTTACTCTTCGTTTCGTATTTGTCCTTCTTGTAGTAGTCATCATCGTATTTTTTCTCCTTGTAGTAATCATCATCGTATTTTTTCTCCTTGTAATCGTAATCATGAGGTGTACGTTTGTCTACATTTTCTTCATTAACGGGTTTTTTGTCTACTACGAGAGCAAGAGCAACTGCAGCGAACAAGGACAAAAGGAAGAGTACGATGGTGACTTTCATTTTTAAATTTTTAAGGTGAATTTATTTTTTTTTATGATAGAAAGAAGTGAAGAAACTTTTCAGAGGAAAAGATAGTGTGTTTATATACTTGTCTCATACTTAATGATCTTTGTGATTTCGTTATGGGAATTAATATTGAAATCGTAAAGTTATTAGCGAAGCCTCAACTTTAGAGTTGAAATATATAATTTTTCTTTTTCGAATTGTTCGCGTCTTTTTTCACATGAGGCTTAGGATTATGCACAAAAGAGAAGACAATCTAATGAATTAAAACAATTTTAGGCTTTCATCGATTGATCGGTTTATTTTCATCATTGTCGGATAGAATAAATTGATTTCATTTTAACAAATTTTCTTATTTTGGAATACCATGAGGCTTTCGGATTTTTATAATTCATTTGCCAAATGCTGAAAGGATCAATAAATTTCATATTGAGGCTTATTTTCAACTTTCATATTTTTAATTAAAGGAAAGTTCCAAAATGGTCATAGCATTACATAATTTTTTTTTTTAATTCTTTCGCTTTTTATATTTGGTAATGTGACTTTAGGGTACGAATTTCGCTTTATTATTTTGATCGACCTATGGTTTAAAAATATGAAGATTAATAATACAACTAATTAAATACCTTATTCTATTGTTGCAATTTTTGGTCTGCTTAAGCCATGAATATAATTCGGGAAGAAGGCAAATTCACGATTTGGACGAATTTACCTTTTTTTTTTTTTTTTTTTTTTTTTTTTTGAATTTATAATATTCCCCCACCCTCAACCGGTTGATTGATCTTTCGTTAATCTTTGATTCATCTGGATTCATAAACAATCAAGCCGAGCCTCGATTTAAGCCTCGACTGTAGGAAATAAAAAAAAAAGGTAATTCATTGAAGGAGGAAAATTCGAAAATTCAATTTACTTTTTTTGGATATCACCGATATCACCGATCTGCAAAGCTGAGCCTCAACTTTAAGCCTCGACCAAAAGATAGTAACAAGATTAAATTTATGAAGTTTACTTTTTCGGATTAAAGATTTGAAATGTAATCTGAGCCTCGAGCTTAAGCCTCGATAAAAAGATGAATTTCGGGTTGGGACAACAAAATTAATGAATTACTTTTATTGGATTGTGAGAAATTAATGTTTTGAAAGCTAAACTATACATGGAAATTTTCAAAATTTGAATGAATATTTATTTTCATTTTATCATGATTTAAAATTTACAAGATAAGGGGGTGTTTTGGAAATATATAATTAATAATTATGAAAGAAAATTTTTTTATTCATATTATATAGTTGCGGCAGTTTCGTAGTTCACGTGTAATGGAAAGTCAATTTTATAGATCGTGTAAATGACGGTTCTGAATTTTATTTCAAAAGTTATTTTATTCTTTTATCCCCTCCCCTTTTCAATTTCTTCGGTAATTCTAATAAGAGGATCTTTGGATTTAAATTCCAAGTTTTTTTTTTCTTCCCCTTTAACCACTAATTACTCCAAAATCAAGACGATTAGAATAAGGAAAAAAAAAAAAATTACACACATGCTTCTTATTTCATACCTCGTTTGAATAATACAAAACTTGTCACGGCAAATATAGGAATGCTTACCATAATAATAGTATATTTCCTATATCATTATAATAATGAGAAAACTTCATAGGTTTACAAAGAAATGAAAATGAGGGTTAAATTACATTCTTAATTTCCGTACATCCATCGAATTCTCAAATTTTGGATTTGACATACTGGTATAAAGTTAGGTAAGTGGTGGCTTGGAAAAAAAAAATATGTATATATATTTTTTTAATGTGACACAACATCACTAACTAATATCGGTGAGGTTGTTCAATCTTTTTTTTTTTTTTCACAAAAATACAGAAAAATAAAATACTTTCTCCCATGATTATTGAAAGTATGTTTATTTTTCCTTCAAAATCATGATTGTTTTGTTTTTATTTCCGTTACTATACTTTTTTAATAATGACTTTTAATCAATTTGTTTAAAGATGTCATCTTATTTATTATACGAAATTTTCGAGAAGATATTTTATTATTTAAGAAATGATACGGGAACATTGTATTCTTGTTTGTTGGTTAAAAGATCATGGTGTAGAAGCATTGTTCCTATCTTATGGAGTAATCCATTCAAATCGGTCAAACCAGGAAAGGCTGGAAAGCTGATGGAAACCTATTTAAAATTTCTGCCATGTGAACCGAACCAAAATGCACATTTACTTTTGAGAAATGGAAAGGATTTATTATCTTTATTGAGAGGAAATTCAACCTTTATATTTGACTATCCGATTTATTTAAAAGTTTTGGATTGTTTAGAACTAAACCGAGTTATTAAGGAGTGGTCTATTTTGATCGTCCCACGGGAAAACTCTAGTTATTCGGGTCAATTGGAATATTGTTCGAGGTGGTTTTCAAATAAAATTATAAATTTTTTTATCAAGAAATGCGGGAGAATCGAGACAATGATATTAATTTTAGATGTTTATCATTTTTATGGAATATCCGCTGTTAAAAATGTAGAAGAACTTGTTGGATTTACTTCTCTTCGAACGCTACACCTTGACTATTGTTGTGATGGACATGTATTAAGTAATGTTCGAGATAACTATCGTTCTATTGAAGAATTATGGATTTCATTCATAAAGACTGGCGTTAATTCAGACGCATTGATTAAGCTTATTAAATCTCAAAGGGGGTTAAAGGATTTCAGACTTCGAAATGCCAGCTTTATCATGGAGAATTTCTTTGGAGTTTCTAATGATCTCTTGAAAGCTTTGATGACGCAAAAGGATACATTGCATACCGTTCAGTTCTTTAACTGTCAATTTGTCGGATGTAAATCACTGGAACCTTTAGCTGAATGTACAAATATTAGTCGATTAGGTTTTTTTAATTGTGAAGGAATGATTGGGGAAAAGATTGTACCTTTGGCTGTATCTCTTAAAAAATTAAGTGTGTTGGCATTGGCCATATATGAAGGTTTTTCCGCCGATGTAATGATCAACATGATCAGGAATTCTCAAGAAAGCCTTAAAAGGATTTCGTTTCCGTTGGCAACCTCGGAAAATTATGTATCGAGAGTATTTCGCGACATGACACCTTATTCGATGAATTTAATTGGAATCACAGTTTGTTTTCAACTTGGGGATGATGAAAGTTTCAGATCTTTCTTATCGCTTTTGGATGCTTGCCCAAATCTAGAATATTTATGCCTTGAAGGGGGTGATAATGACGGAACCCCATTGGATTTTGATGATCCTTGCATGATTATGGGATTTGAAAGGTTGGCTAAGATCATGCCTCGTAAAGTTCATCGATTGTTACTTTATAACGTTTCGGTATCTCCTTTATCATTACAATCATTTCTTGATAATTGCGTTGCGAAAATCAAATACTTGGGATTATATGAATGTCCATCATTTTTCGATAATCATATTTCTGTAATCATCGAATACGCTCAGAAACATAATGAAATGTTAAAGAATTTAATAATTCATCGGTGTCACCTTGTCAACATAGAAGCGATTCATCTTGCAATGGAAGTTATTGAGAAAGTTCAATGTAGTGATCAGGAACCTCGAGACATGGAATTTACTACTTGGTTAGAATTTTAAAGGTTTTCAAATTTAGATGCTTTCTTATTGAAAATCATAAAGGTTTCTATTTATATTTGTATATAAATTTAAAGAATAATAAAATTCAAAGAGATCTATTGATCCATCAAGCATGTGTTCTATCGTGTTTGGAAATGATAGCTCCGCAATGTAATAATTGTAAAAATAAATTTTACTAGATTTAATAATTATTCGAATAAATATTTATTTATTTTTTTATTTTATTTTTTTTTTTTTTTGAGGGGGGTGATCTTTTGTTTAGAAATACCGAAAAAAAAAATTTTATTTAGAGAATATCGGTGAAGAGGATCGAGATATGATATAAAATGTCTATAAAATCAATAGTTATTTCATCCTTTGTAAGATTGATCGATCAAAGGATTTTTTTTTAGCAAAGATAAAATTTTATACGAAGCAGATAAAACAAATTTTGCACATTTTATTATTTAAAAATAGGAATTTATGTAAATATTAAGCGTAAGTCATAGAAATCTTGCGGTATATATGAATTTTTTTGAAAGATTATAGTTAAAGGATTTTATTGGAAATTAGTCTTACATTAAATTATTAGAAAATGCGATTCTTTTTTCCCTTACATTATTATATGTTAAATATTAACTTAGAATCCTGTATGTTTATTTGTTTTGGTCGTTAAACGGAAACAATACTATCTTATTAACCATTATGTTGTAAAAATAAATCTAAAATAAAGTTGACATTATGCGATAAATTCTATTAATCCGTAAACCGTAAAGTGATTTTAGTAAAGTTTTCACCTCCAATAATGTACACACTCGTTCATATTTGCATCTATAGACCCCCTACGATTAGCCCTTTCACAGTTTAAGTAAAGTTGTTTAACAATTTAAATTTAGTCAAATTAATTTTTATTTAGGTTAGTTTATTATTTTTGAAATAATTAAACAAATTTGCTTTTATTATCAATTTAAATTCAGGTTTGATTCCTTTATAATCTAAGTAAAATTATTCAACTAGTTTGAATTTAGTTAAATATCAATTTTTATTAAGGTTAGTTTAATATTGTTTTAAATAAATTACCTTTTATAGTTTAAGTAAAATTATTCAAAGAATTCTAATTTTATCAAAATTAGATTAGTATTCATAAAATAAATTATATTTTTCATATTGCCAATAATATACAAATTCTATTTGATAACTTTTTATCAAAAATTTGAAGTGAATAAAAAGTATATAAAATGTAATTAATATTATTGATAAAATTTTAATAATACTTATTTGACTAAATTAAGATTAAATTTAGACTTCTAATCAATTTAGATTATTTGAGAAATGATTAAACATGTTATGATAATTATATATAATTATGTAAAAACGTAATTTGTAATTATGGTAATTA